CATGAAGTACCCCTCCAAGATCACATAATAACCAGTTATATCTTGGACAACCTTACTGAAATTGCCACTCCTAAAAGTCTTGGTGGCACGGGGACCTAATTCGGGATCAACAGAATTCAAGCCCCTAATCTTTGATATCATATACCCAGTGTAATCCTCACCCAACTGAGTCAAAGACAAGATCTCTTCCAAATATACTTCAATCTCTCGAGGGTCCGGTCCTTCAACTCCAACAGATAGCAAATTACTCTTATAAGAATTAATCTCAGAAGTCACTTTAGCTAGTTTCCTATACTCCATGTACTTCTTTATAATAGTGGAACCGCGAGAATCACACTCTTCTTGAAGTTCACATGTAGCATAAACAATGCCATCCTCTCCACACAAGCTCCTTAAAGTTTCATCATTCTCTTCAATAGCCAAGACAATATCTTTGAATAAATTAGTCAAACAGGACACAAAATTAAGCTGGTTCTGACCTGAGCCCTGTTGATCGCTCATCATTTCCACCAATTGCTCGTACTCGAGGCGCGATCTCATGGCAATAACCTTCTTCAAATAGGCCACGTAGACTTGCAGTCCCTCCTCCTCTAATCCCAGCGGCGGATACAGCCTGATGAACCGCAAAACAGTGGAATGATCCCGCTGATCCACTGCAGCAGCCAACCTGCGGCGAACAATCCCTTCAAGCTGCTTCTTGGAGGCCAAGAGCTGGTCTCTCTGGTCGGAGGCAGCGGAATCCTTATACTTAGCGTCAAGATGGAGGAAGGTCTGGACGTAATTGGCGGCAGATTCGAAGTCCTCGGAATCAAGCGCCTTGTGGACGCCGTCAAGGCAATTAGAGCGGTGAACAATGGCATCTATGCGAAGGAGAGTGTCGTTGACGCGCGATTGAGCAAGATCGAGCTGGCGGACTTTGGCGCTCACTTGATCGGCTAGGAGAGAAGTGGAGGTGACGTTGGATAAGAGGTGATCGGCGTCGGCTTTAACAATGTCGAGCACTTGAGTGGATTTTTGGAGGCCGGAGAGCTGCTTGTCGAGATCAGTGCGGTGGGAGAGGATTGTGTCCAGTTCTAGATCTAGGGCTCGCTGATAAGCAATGCACTCGTGGAGAAGACGAGTCATGGCTCCAACGTCGGTGAGGTTACGCACCTGCTCCAACGCCTCCGGTGTCCCGAATTTCAAGGAAGATGAATCCATTTCAGACAAGGTGCTGTTGCCATCGTCGGCTTCTCCTCTCTGCGCCGTCGACGACATTTCCTGTCCGGCCAGATGAAAACAGATTGAGTCAGATTTAAGAACGTAGCTAAGGGATTTGTAATGGGGTTATTAATTTGATTAACATAAGTAATATATTCAGGAATTGATTTGGAGGGATCAGTGACGTTACTTGGTATCCAATTGAATAAATTACTATGGTACTGAATTTTGAGTAAAATTCATGTAGAAACTCATGTTCCTCTGGGAATGAATGAAAAGAAGAAGATGGGAATTTAGGGGTAAGAAGACCAAAAAGTCCCTACGGATTTTCTGGAGAACTATAATGTACGTACATTCTTCTCAACTACTGCTCTGCTCTTTTGATTAGCAAAACAATTTATATTATACAACTAGTTAATTAGTCAAAACCTATTCAACTTTTGAAATGATACTTTTCTAATACTATTAAATTACTGAAAGTAGTTTAAAACATATTTTTTATTTATTGTCGAGAACACAATATCGACTAAAAAGGAAATTGATAAACTTTCAGTGTCACCACAATTACATAAAGTTACTTACACTTGTAGGTTCTACAGTTTGTGCTTGTAAACACATGTTTCATTGTATAATCTTAATGTATTCAAATATTTAATATATTTAAATATTTTTTATGAAATTCTTTGAGACCTTTAGTTGGCAATATACTGCAGACATTTTATTTTGTTTGAAAAGGAAAACTAAATTCTAATATTTGCATAGTTTGTAAATTCCATCATTATTTTATGAATATCTGATTTAATTTTATTCTCACACAAATACTTCTTTGTTTTAACTTTATCCTTTCCAAGTGTAAACGTGCATACATGTACATACTTACAAGAATAACAATCTTTGATATATGTATTATTATCATAAAAAGTTTAAGATTTTCACTACTATAACTTTCTCCGATTTTAAATGTCACAAAAACCGCGCCCCCACAAAAATATAAAAGTATTTATTTTGCTAATATAAACAAAGAATAAATATAGGGGTTTTTAAATACGAGGGTTGATAGTCCAAAAGGTTTATGATTCAAAATCAGGAAATAAAAAAAATTAATTTACTAAAAATGTGACTAATTCTTTTGAATATATTGAATTTAATTTTATATATAAACTTTTCAAATTTATTTGATTCCACCATTATACTCACAAAGTAAATAAGAAAAGGCAAAAAAATTACTATATCTCATAAAAAGAAACAAAAGTAATAATTTTTATATACCCAAAAGAATAGATTAAAAAAGACTAATTTTCTTCTTCTTCTTCTTTATTCTCCCTTTTTATCTTCTTCCTCGTTCTCTTTGTTTATTCCCTCACCCACCACTTATTCAACAAAACCTGAAATTACAAAAAGACAGCCATGCGTTTTGGATGCAATTCTGATTCCCTGCATTTTATCTTTTCTTTCATCAATTAGTTTTTCCCCTTTTTAGAAATTGCCTTACTAATCTTGTTCACGCTGTATTTATTGACATCTCATTTTTTAACATTCCATATTTTAAAAAAATCATCACTTTATTCCACATATTGAAACTCACAAATAAAAAAAGAAACTAGTGGCAGCTAATAATCCATATGACAGTAAATTTTTCCTAAAATAAAATAAAATAAAGAGTTTGGATATGAAAATTAATGGTTTTTTACCCAAGATAAATGAGGCCGGAAGATAGCCACCATGATGATTGACAAAGAGTATTTATTCTTTCAGTGAACACAATAATTCCAAGTGATTCGGTGACTTTGAATATCTTGTCCTGCAATAGAAAATATGGAGTTATAAATTTTTTCAACAAAAATAAAAAAGGAAAAGAGTCATAAGGAAAAAAGCGAGAAAGAGAAAAAAACAACAATAACAAAATACACAAGAACCAAAGATAAACTACATAGTCAATTAGTCATAGGCGAAGATATTTTACGTGTAAAGTAAGGAAATGATACAAAATAGTTCTTTCAAAAAGGAACACAGGTCGAAGAAAAAGGAATTCGTTGATTTGTGTTTCAACTAATTAAATGTGATAACGGAGCATAAGCATGAACTTTTTAAGTATGAAAAGTGGTGGTGAATTGAAACAAATATAGAGGAAATCAATAAAGGATATGAGAATGTAGGCTTAATGGTCTGATTAATCTCTGTGTTGTATTAATTAATCATTATATGTCGAGCGTTAGGAGTGTGGCGCCCTTTCGCAATCGGTTGTATCCGTTTTCTTTATTGTTAAAAAATCACATAAATGGAAAAAATTCTAAAAAGGCTAAAAATTCAGGAAAAAAGAATAGTATGAATGCTGGCCAAGGAGATGCGTCATGTCAGCACTCTTTGGCCCTCCTTTATATATATATATATATAGATTATATTCATCTTATTGGTTTTTAATAGAACTTGTAGCTAGGAGTGTGCATTCGAATCGGTTTATCGATAAATCTAATCGATTATTTGTTATCGGTTTATCGATTTATCGATTTCGATTTCGATTTCGAAAATTTCTTATCGAGTTATCGATTTCAATTTCGATTTTGTCCACTTCGGTTATCGATTTATCGATAAACCGATAAGATATACTAAAAAGACAATTATACCCTTATTCTATATAACCTTTCCTTTACCTTAACTTATTATTTCCATTTTCCTCCAGCCTTATTATTTCCTAATTTCCCTACCCTATTATTTCCTCTTCACGACTTCACCCGTTCAGTTCAGGCGCTGCTTCTGCCTTCTGAAGTTCCTTAAGATTTTCCCCTACCCTATTATTTCCTCTTCACGACTCACCCGTTCAGTTCAGGCGCCTGCGAGCCGCTTCTGCTTCAGTTCAGAATCTGAAGTTCCTTAAGAGTCAAGCTCTGCTCAAGCCTCAACGTTTTTTGCAGAACTGTTCTGCTTCTGCCCTTTTAGAGCTGAAGCCTCAAATTTTCTTCACTCAAAATTCCTCCTTTCTTGGTTTCTCCCACAGATCTGGTAATTCTCTATCTCCAAATGGGTTCTCTCAGTAACTTTTTTTCTATTTGATAAGGGTAAATTACTAAATTTTATAGAAGCTGTAAACGTGATGCTTGGACAAATGCTTAATTTTATATAAGTGTACACACTAACATCGATTCTCAACAAGTCATTGAATTGAAAATACAAAACCTACTTAAGGCAACAATGTAAAACAAGGTTTGTATTTTATTTTGATATGTAGATTCAAGAGCGAGGAGTACTGACTTCGTCTTGCTTTGGTTCATTCAACTCGTTTAAGACTGTAAGTTACATTCTTCATTCACTTCACATGGCTGAAAATGATAATATTGATAAAGTGGCTGATGAAAGTAGAGGTTCCGAGTCTACGACTGCAACTACTCACTCGACAGTTACAAAACAAAGGAAAAAATGATCTCGAGCATGGCATTTTTTTGAAGAAAAAATTGATGCTAAAGGAAATAATAAATATGCATGTAGATTTTGTGGACAAGAATATTTTGAGACAAAAGGCAAAAGTACGACACAAATGAATAGTCATATCGATAAATGTCCAAAGAATCCTTATAAAGTTGAAAAAGGTCAAAAACTATTACAATTTCAAACATTACTGGGGGTAATAAAGGTGGTCTTATTCCATGGAAATTTGATCAAGAAGAGTGTAGGATGGCTTTGTGTCGTATGGTGATTGTTGATGAACTTCCATTTAGTTTTGTTGAGAAGGAAGACTTTAGAAACTTTATGAAAGTGGCACAACCTTGTTTTCATATTCATTCCCGTACTACTGTTACACGTGATTGTTTTGCTCTTTTTAATATGGAAAAAAATAAATTAATGAAGTTTCTTAAAGGAACAAGTCAAAGAGTAAGTCTTACCACTGATACATGGACTTCTATTCGAAAAATTAACTATATGTGCATCACAGCCCATTGGATTATTAGTGAATGGATTATGCATAAAAAATTATTAACTTTTCTCCAATTACTAGTCATAAAGGTGAAGATATGGCAAGGTGTATTATTGATTATTTGCATGAGTGGAGTTTGCAAAAGATTTTCACTGTCACAGTTGACAATGCTAGTTCAAATGATGTGACCGTGGAGAAGTTGTCTGACAAATTAGATGATTGGGGAACCAATTCCATGAATGGTCAACACCTTCACATGAATGCATGACACATATTGTAAATCTTATTGTGAAAGATGGTTTAAAAGAGTCAGGTATTCCTATTGCTCGTGTTAGATGTGTAGTCAGATACATTAGACAGTCTCCTGCTAGGTTGAGGAAGTTTTAGGAATGTTGTGAAAGTGAAAATATTGTCAAGAAGTCTTTATGCTTAGATGTTCCTACAAGGTAGAATTCCACATACTTGTTGTTGAGCAGGGCTATTGAATATGAGCATGCAATTAAAGAATATTCTGATCGTGATACCGTCTTGTCATGTTATCTTATGTTTGATGCCATTTCAAATGGAAAGCCTGTAGGTATTCTTACAAGAACTGATTGGGATGAGGTAAAGAGAATTGCACAATTTCTTGAAATATTTTATAATCTCACTTTGAAGGTGTTCGAGTCACTTTATGTAACGTCGAATGCCCATTTTATTGAAATTGGTCAAGTTGTTGTTTACTTAAATCGATTAATAACAACTAAAGATAAACTTTTGAGTGAGATGGCATTAAGTATATGGAAAAAATTTGAGAAGTATTGGGGTGAACCAAAAAAAATGAACAAAATGATTTTCATTGCTTGTATTTTGGATCCTCGCTACAAGTTTACTACTGTTAGTTTTGTATTAAGAAGATGTTTGGAGATGATGAAGGGACAATTATTGAAAAAGAGGTTCATACTTATATGAGTTCACTGTTTAATGAGTATGTCTCTAAGTCGGTTTCAAAAGATACTGGTGGTAAAGTTTCTACCTCTTTGCCAAGATCTTCATTCAGCACAATGGAAGCTTCAACTGATTTAGGTGCACTCTTAGATGAAATAAGGAAACATAAAACTGCAAGTGGAGGTGTAGATTCTAAAACAGAATTGGAAAAGTATCTTGCAGAAGATCCTGAAAATGAAAGACCGGACTTTGATATCTTGGCTTGGTGGAAGGTGAACTCACCTAGATTTCCTATTCTTGGTAAGATGGCTCGAGATATGCTTGCTATTCCTATTTCAAGTGTGGCATCTGAAAGTGCATTTAGTACCGGAGGGAGTATTCTTGCCCATTTAGGAGTTCATTAACTCCTAAATTGGTTGAAACTCTAGTGTGCCTTCAAGATTGGCTTCGAAGTGAATCGCTTCCTGTAAATGTTGAGGAAGATTTAGATTTTCTCGAGACACTCGAGGAAGGTATGTATATTTTAATTAATTTTATTGTATTTCTTAAGATAGTTAAATAATATATTAATTGCTTGACTTGTTAATGTATATTCTTATTAGATTTTACTAATCTTGACAAAGAGGCTTTCAGTTTGTTAGAGTTTGTTAGCTGCTATGTAAGTTCTCCATTTTAAATAATATACTTGTAAAAGAATGTGATGTATTAAAAAGTTATTAATATTTTTCTTAATTTCTTTCAGGTTTAAAGCTTGGTGTCTTAAAATTGCTCTGTGCAAGAAGAAGAGTTGCAGGTCCAATTGCACGCTCTAATCTCTATTGTGTTCAATGTTCATCCAGCATAATTTTCACAAGAACAGTTCAGCGCTTAACATTCTGATTGCAGGTGTATTAAAATTATTTGAGATTGTTTGATTCTGTGGCTTTAGCTGTCACTAAAGGGTTTGACAGCATGTCCATTTTATTTGAGATTGTTTGTTATCAGTTGGTAGCAGGTTGGTGACTTCTGATTGTTGTAAAAGCATTTGTAACTTGTTCTGTTTGTTTTTAGTGTGCTGACACTTTTCTGGTCAAATGAACAGTCAAGCAAAGGAAAAAAAACGTAAAAGAGAGAGCAAAAAAAGTCTATGTTACTGTCTGTAGAAGGAACAGTTGTTACTATGATTATCTTAAGTTATTCTATACTTAAAGAACATCAAATTTTTTTATTGGTGTAATCGATAACCGAATCGATAAGCCCCAAATATCGATAAATCGAAATCGAAAAAATCGAAACCTTATTGAAACGATAACGATAAGCATATGTATAATTCGATAACCGATAGGTAATTATCGATAAGGGTCAAAATCGAATCGATAAATCGAATGCACACCCCTACTTGTAGATTTTTTGTGAAAATTTATATAAACATATTCATGATACTTGCTTGATATTTAATGTTTAATGTAATTATTTTGGCATATCTCTGGATCCTAACATATATAGTCCAATATTATTGAAATGCTTTAAATTGTTTTTTATTCTTTCACTTTCAGTGAAAATGTATCATGTAAATCTTATCAACAATTATTGAATTTGTTGATTAGTATGATCGTGAAGGACTTCATCAGAATTATAAAATTTCTTTTAATATCCAAATAAAAAAAGTACTTATAATGATTCTTCTAGCCTTTAAATCAAAACATACTAGATTTCAAGCTTTAATCCATTTTATTATTAAAAATAAATTTCTGTTATAAAATCTTTAGTAAATGTGGATGTCCATTATTCCCACTACTTTCACTCATGATGTAAATAACCTCTCACTACTCATCACCACTATGATTCTAACTCCCACACCTCCATAACCCCTCCCCATGATCTCAATTGTTAATGTCATGTTTAAGACAATCATTTTGTAACCTTCATATGTAATAGTATAAATAGAGGCATGAAATGTGAGTTGGAACACACTTGAACACTTGATGAAATAAGAAAGTTATCTCTTCTTCTCTTATTCTACTTATCTTCTTGTTTTATATTGTTACTTTGAGCTATTTTTCTTAATACGTTATTAGCACGAAATTGAGCTCTTTTCGTTGTTTAGGTATATTTGTTCATTTTTTTTTCATTGTATATTTTGATTTCATGATTAGTGTCTTTAATATGCAGTTTTATAATTTCTCATACTGGGTTGTTGTTGTTGTTGTTGTTGTTGTCATATCTCTAGATATATGTAAAAATAAAGAATTCTATGTTTCTTTATTTTACGTTATTTGCATGATTGTCATGTGAAAGTTGCTAATTTTTATGTTAATAGAATTAATTGAGAGAAGATACTTGTTTTATGTTGTTCGACATTTGAAATTGTGTTAAAGTTAGAAGATATTTTGTTCTAGTTAACATCAAAGATATACTAATAATTTGAAGAAAAAAATAGTATTCTTTTCTATGGAATTATCACTTTAGTGTATATAGATCACAAATTTGATATTATGTCAATTTTTAAGATTCTTTACGCTATTATCCTAATGATTTCTAATTATTTATCTTCTTTGATAGTTTTCACTATGTCGAATTTGTCAAAGCTTGAGTTTGTGGCACTTGACATTTCTGAAAAGAATTGTCTATCATGGGTTCTTGATGCTGAGATTCACTTAGCCGTTAAAGGCCTAGGTGACACTATTACTCAGGGTAATGAAGCATCAATCCAAGACAAAGCGAAGGCCATGATTTTCCTTCGTCATCATTTGGATGAAGGTTTGAAGGTTGAATATTTGACAGTGAACGATCCACTTGAATTGTGGACTGACCTGAAGGAAAGGTATGATCAACTTAAGGCTACTGTATTGCCAAGGGCTCGATATGAGTGGATGCACTTACGGTTGCAAGATTTTAAGACCGTAAGTGAATATAACTCTGTTGTATTTCGAATAACTTCCCAATTGAAATTATGTAGGGATGTTATGAATGATGAGGATTTGTTGGCAAAGACTCTTACGACTTTTCATGCCTCAAATACGGTATTACAACAGCAATACCGTGAAAGGGGTTTTAAAAAGTATTCTGAATTGATCTCATGCCTTCTGATGGTTGAGCAACATAATACCCTTTTGCTAAAAAATCATGAAGCCCGTCCCACAGGGTCAGCTCCGCTTCCTAAAGCGAATATGGTAGCTAGATGTGATAAGTATGGAAAAAGACAGAATAATAATCATGGCCATATGAATGTACGTAGGCATGATAATGGTAAGAGACGATATAATAGTCGTCATCGTGGTGGTCATGGAAAATGAGAGAACAATATGGGTTCTCAAAACAATCCTTCAAAAGGCAAAAGCGGTAACTGCCACCGTTGTGGCATGAAAGGTCATTGGAAAATTGAATGTCGTGTACCTGAGCATTTTGTCAGGATTTATCAAAACTCCATCAAAAGAAAGGCAAATAATATTGGAGCATCTTCTGCTAATGCCCCAGTGGAGTCTCACTTGACCTTTAAAAATAATTTTAAGGCAGGGCCTTCAAACAAAAATGATGACAATGCCGATGCAAATCTTGCTTTGAATGGTGATGATTTTCAAGGCCTCAATGATCTTACTCATTTGGAAGTTGAAGATTTCTTTGGAGATTAAAACTAAAGTTTGATCATTTTACTGAGGAATGCAATTATGTTGTTATTTTTATTTTCAGTATTTTTGTCTCGTCTAATATTGTTTTTATTTTCAAGTAGTACTTAAGTTGTCTTATGTTGTTGTTAATGTTGTTAGTTTTTTCGTATTTCTCATGATGTACTATTATTTTTTTATGAAGAAATTAAAATTTTCCAGTTTTCAATTGGATCCAAGATGAGTAATAAAGATTTATGTCTTTTGGATAGTGCTACAACTCATACAATATTAAGAGAAAAGAAATTTTTCTCTTATTTGGTTACGAAAAATAATATCTGGTAGTACAAAGTTGATTGAGGGCTCTGGAAGAGCGGCCTTATTATTACTTGGAGGAACGATATTAACTATTAATAATGCATTGTATTGTAGTAAGTCTCAAAGAAACTTGTTGAGTTTCAAAGCTATTCGCCAAAATGGCTACCATGTTGAGACATCAAACGAAGGAAAGGTTGAATACCTTTATATTACTAAAATAAAAGCGAGTAAAAAATATGTGCACGAAAAATTACCCGCATTTTTTTCTGGGTTGTACCACACAAACATTGGTGTGATTGAATCACATGCCATAGTAAACAAAAGGTTTACTACTTCTAATGATTTTATCATTTGGAATGACCGGTTGGACCATCCCGGTTCTAACATGATGCGCAGAATAATAGACAATTTAAATGGGTACACATTGAAGAACAAGAAGATTTTTCAATTTAAGGAATTCTCTTGTATTGCTTGTTCTCAAGGAAAATTGGTTATTAAAGCATCAACAGCTAAAGTTGGGATTGAATCCCCTGCATTTCCAGAACGTATACCGGGTGATATATGTGGGCCTATATACCCTCCATATGGACCATTCAAGTATTTTATGGTCTTGATAGAAATATCTACAAGATGATCACATGTGTGCTTATTGTCAACTCGTAATATGGCATTTGCAAGATTGTTGGCCCAAATAATAGGGTTAAGAGAACAATTTCTAAATTATGCAATTAAGACAATTCGTCTTGATAATGCTGGTGAATTTACATCTCAGGCATTTACAGATTATTGTATGGCCACTGGAATAAAAGTTGAGCATCCGGTTGCTCATGTTCATACTCAAAATGGTCTAGCAGAATCATTGATTAAACGCCTTCAACTAATAGCTAGACCATTGCTAATGAGGACAAAACTTCCCCTTCAGTACAGGGACATGATATTTTGCATGCAACAACATTTGTGCGCATAAGGCCAACCAGTTATCATAAAGTCTCCCCATTACAGTTGGCTTTTGATCAGGAGCAAAATATTTCCCATCTAAGAATTTTTGGATGTGCGGTATATGTTCCAATTACTCCACCAAAACGCACAAAGATGGATCCCCAAATAAGGTTGGGAGTATATGTTGGTTATGAATCTCCTTCTATTATTAAATATTTGGAGCCTATGACAGGAGATTTGTTTACAACCAGATTTGCTGATTGTCATTTTGATGAATCAGTTTTTCCAATATTAGGGGGAGAAAATAAACAACTGAAAAAAGAGATATATTGGAACGTATTATCTTTATCTCATTTGGATCCTCGTACAAATCAATGTGAACAAGAAGTTCAAAAGATCATTTATATGCAAAATGTTGCAAATCAATTGTCAGATGCATTTACTAACCTTCCACGGGTTACTAAATCGCATATGTCCTAGCTGGACAGTATGATGATGCAAATGAGTCTAGGCCATGCCTTAAATGTGGTAGACCAATTGGTTCCAAGGATAAGAATCCCCAAAAAAGGAAAGGAACAAATGATCAAATTGATCATAACATGGAGGCAATTGCTCAAAATGAGCATAAAGACATACTCCCTCTGTTCCAGTTTATGTGAACCTATTTCCTTTTTGGTATGTTTCAAAAAGAATGACTCCTTTCTAAATTTGGTAACAATTTAGCTTTAACTTACAATTCTACCCTTAATGAGAAGCTTTTATAACCACACAAATACTCTGGGCCCCTTTTTGACTTGGCTAGGACCACAAATTCCAAAAGTCTTCATTTTTATCTTAAACTCTGTGCCCAGTCAAATAGGTTCACTTAAATTAGAACGGAGGGAGTAGTAATTATAAGACCTCATAGGAGGTTCTAGTACCTAGAAATGATGAAAATGAAGAGATCTTAATAAGTTATATCTCTACGGAAAAAAAGTGAAACCGAAATAACGTTGTTGTTAACAACAATTTTGCATATAATGTTGCAGTTGAAATAATGCAACAAGATGAGGATCTTGAGCCACAATATATCGATGCATGTAGACAGAGAAATGATTGGCCAAAATGGAAAAAACGCAATTCAAGCGGAATTGGCTTCACTCGAAAAACATAAAGTTTTCGGACCAATAGTTCGAACGCCTGAAGGTGTCAAGCCAGTGGGGTACAAATTGGTTTTTGTGTGAAGACGAAATGAGAAAGGTGAAATCGTAAGATATAAAGCACGACTTGTGGTACAAGGGTTTTTTGCAAAGGCCTGACATTGATTATGTGGAGACATATTATCCTGTGGTAGATGCAATTACCTTCAGGTATTTAATAAATCTGGCAGTCCATGAAAAGCTTGATATGCGGTTGATGGATGTTGTCACATCCTACTTATATGGCTCACTGGACAATGAATTTTATGAAAATCCTTAAAGGATTTAAAGTTCTTAAAGCACATAAACGTTCTAGAGAAACTTGTTCAATAAAGCTTTAGAAATTCTTATACGGATTGAAGCAATCAGGGAGGATGTGGTACAATCGCCTTAGCGAGTATTTGCTAAAGGAAAGGTACAAAAATGACCCTATTTGCCCTTGTGTCTTTATTAAGAGGTATAGATCTGAATTTGTCGTCATAGTCGTGTATGTTGATGACTTGAATATCATTGGCACTTCTAAAGAGCTTCCAAAAGTTGTAGAATGTTTGAAGAAAGAATTTGAAATGAAAGATCCTGGTAAGATAAAATTTTGTCTTGGCCTACAAATTGAGCATGTACCAAATGGAATTTTTGTTCATCAATCAACATACACTGAAAAGGTTTTAAAGCGATTTTACATGGATAATGCACATCCATTGAGTATCCCAATGGTTGTGAGGTCGCTTGATATAAATAAAGATCCATTTCGGCCTCAAGAAAATGACGAAGAGCTCGTTGGTGATGAAACTCCATATCTTAGTGCAATTGGGGCACTGATGTATCTTGCCAACAATACTCGACCAGATATTGCTTTTGCAGTAATCTTAGATTCAGCTCCTTCCCAACCAGAAGACATTGGAATGGTGTTAAGCATATATTTAGATATCTTCGGGGAACCATAGATATGAGATTGTTTTATTCTAATGAATTCAAGTCAGAAATGATTGGCTATGCTGATGCAGGTTATTTGTCTGATCCACATAAAGCTTGATCTCAAAGCGTTCAATGAAACAAACAATAGCTGCCACATCTTCAAATCATGCTGAGATAATAGCCATTCATGAAGCTAGTCGGGAATGTGTTTGGTTGAGATCAATGACTCAACATATTAAGAAAATGTGTGGTTTTCTTATGAAAAGGGATAATCCAACAATACTATATGAAGACAATGCTGCTTTTATTGCTCAACTGAAAGGAGGATACATCAAAGGAGACAGAACAAATCATATTTCACCAAGGTTCTTTTCACGCATGATCTTCAACAAAATGGTGAAATTAATGTTCAACAGATTCGTTCATGTGAAAATTTGGCTGATCTGTTCACTAAGGCTTTACCAACCTCAACATTTGAGAAGTTGAGACAGAAGATTGGAATGCGGCGTCTTCAAGAAATAAAGTGATATTTTCATGAAGGGGAGTAAGATACACGCTGTACTCTTTTTCCCTTAACCTAGGTTTTGTCCCACTGGGTTTTTCTGGTAAGGTTTTTAACGAGACAACAAATAAAGCGTATTACAGATATGTGTACTCTTTTTCTATCACTAAGATTTTTTCCCACAGTGTTTTTTCTTAGTAAGGTTTTAACGAGGCATATTATCTATTTTTTGGACATCTAACGGGGAGTGTTATAAAATCTTTAGTAAATATGGATGTCCACTACTCCCACTACTTTCACTCATGATGTAAATAACCCCCCACTACTCATCACCATTATGATTGTAACTCCCACACCTCCATAACCCCTCCCCATAATCTTCCCCCATGATCTCAATTGTTAATGTCATGTTTAAGACAATCATTTTGTAACATTCATATGTAAAAGTATAAATAGAGGCATGAAATGTGAGATGGAACACACTTGAACACTTGATGAAATAAGAAAGTTATCTCTTCTTCTCTTCTTCTACTTATCTTCTTGTTTTATATTGTTCACTTATTGGTTTTTGGTCTCTAGAAGTATTTGAGTATCATATAATCCATATAGGAAAAACTATTTAAGAAAGTACAGAATGAAAAAGAATTTCAAGAAAAAATAATCTCTGTATGTGCGTGTATATTTTAAAAGCAAGGGGTTTTCCTTTGCAACATTGAATATATGTATATGAGTATCGTATTTCATGTAGATTCATCAAAAGGTTTAAAATGTTTGTGCTTTCATAATTTTCTTCTTGTTAAAATCTAAAAGAATATGTTAAGAAAAACAACAACGACCAA